CTAATAACAATCTATACTATATTATAAAGCATTTGGCTAAAAAATTTAAAAACAAATTTTTATATATAAAATACTGTTTATTGATTCATATTACTTAAAATTTAAGATTACAAGTAGAATGTGCATTAGTACATCTTAATCATGTTTGAATTCGTGTAAAACACTGCAGATAAACATAATCAAATACATGATAAACATCATTTTAAATATAAAAAATCTAAAATATAATTAAGATAAGAGAAATTTATAAACCTAACCATTTTACATAACCCTTTGCTACAAAATAACCACATTTTAGAGTTTTTGCCGGAATGACCACTCGGATCGCCCCCGTATTATATGGGGGCGATCCCCCTTTTCTAAGTAAAAAAAAATTGAAATTTTATTTTCTTGGACACATGTACTATATGGGGGTGATCCATACTATAAGGGGGCGACCCCCTTTTCTAAGTAAAAAAAATTTGAAATTCTTTTTGAAATTTTCTTGGACAACGTGTACTAGAGGGAGGAGATCCATGTCTCCATAATTATAAAGGTTTATTTTTAAACTTTTACCCATGAAATTTTGAATCTAAAAAAATTAAAAAATACAACTTCAATGGCGTATCAGTTTTATTAAAAATACCAAAAAACAAAAAAATACCAGGATTGCCCCCAAATTATCATCCGGTTTTTTATAACGAAAAACCGTGAAACTTAAAATTAAATACGTAAAATGACACACTTTATGTATTTTTCCATTTTTATTAAAAACACCCCTTAATTGTTAAATAAAAAACACAAAATGACAAAATAGAGGTCAAATTTCGTCAATCAGATATTATATTTGATTTACGAAACCCAAAACAGATAAAAATAATTTTTGGATCTCCATAATTATAAAGGTTTATTTTTAAACCTTTACCCATGAAATTTGGTTTTAAAAAAGTTAAAAAATACAACTTCAATGGCGTATCAGTTTTATTAAAAATACCAAAAAACAAAAAAAAATTTAAAAATACCCGGGGGCGAGGTCAAAGGCACGGTCAACGAGGGAAGGGCGAGGTCAAAGACACGGTCAACGAGGAATGAATAGTAATCTCGACTTTTGAGGATAATTTTTTTTTATAAAGCTTAAGGGGGGATCGCCCCCATATAATACGGATCGCTCCCGGGGCGATCCGAGTGGTCATTCCGGCAAAAACTCTAAAATGTGGTTATTTTGTGGCAAAGAGTTATGTAAAATGGTTAGTTTTATAAATTTCCCTTAAGATAATTATTGATAACTAACAGATTACTTAATTATTTTCTTAAAAAAATTATTTTATTAAACCAAAAACAAGTTAGTTCGTTTTTAAACTTCAATTGAATCTGGTTCACTGTATGAAATTGTATTTCATCACTATCCTCTTCACTGTATGCAACTATTTCGCGGAATGAAACTGTATTTCATCACTGTATGCAATTATTTCACTGTATGAAAAATATTATTTCATCACTGTACTAATCTAGTTCACTGTATTAATCTGTATTTCTTAACTAGATGAACATGTATTTCTTCATTGTATGAATTTGTTTCACATTATTTATTTACATGTGTGAATCTGGTTTACTATATGAATCTGTTTCTGTTGATCTCGTTAGGGTCTACAAGATGTGTACAACAGTTTGTAGAAGGGGGGGGGGGATGAATACAAACACAGAAACTTTTCAAATTTAAAATATATATTGATAAAGAATGATCAATATATATTGATAAAGAATGATCAATACATATTTTACAAGATTGTTTGCGGAAAGATAAGGTAGATAAAACCTATCTAAACAATCTAAAGTTACACACTAATTCTTAGCAAATAAAAAAAGGATTTATTGTTAAAGACTTATAGGAAAGTAAGGTCTATCTAGGAAGAACTGTTTAGAATACAACAAAGAGATTCTAACTTGCTCTTGAAGATTAGCGTATTTGTTCTTACCTGTGTGTGTTCTTTTACTTAAGCGAAAGTAAGTTAGGGTAGAGGTAAGGAGTATCTCTGCATGGAGATAGAACACATCTATTTATACCCATTTCATTAACGTGGTAGGGTTAGAACGTGTGTCAAGCCTTAAGAGGAAGGCTTGTCCTTTGCTACAGTGAACAGTACAAAAGCCTATTCATGAGCAGACATCCTTTCACAAAGTTGGTGGGTAATAGAGTCAACTAATCGGCTTCGTACCATACTACCTTTTAGAAAGGGTATGGGGTTGTTCTTTGTGTGTATGAGAACAAGACAAAACAATCGTTCTCAATAAGCTTCGTTTGATCGGTGAATGCTAGAATAACCTGAAGATCTCTTCAACATTCGCTGAGGCCTGGGCAGTCTTCACACATATATAGACCAGGTTGTAATCACTGAATACCGCTTCAGATCATGTACTCGCCAGTCTCTAATCTTCAGTTTCAGTCTTCGACTTTCGCTGAAGGTTCTTTGGTGTGAGTTTTGTCTTCTTGAAGTATGTTGATCCTCTCTCTCAGTGATTTGATGATAATTCCTTTTCACTTATATGTTGTATTTATGTTTTTGTCTTTTCAGTTTCAACGATCATCATTGAACCTGTTCAGTGATCGCTGAAGAACTTGTATTGTAATTCAATCAGGGACAATGATACTTCAAGAAGACAACATTCACACCAAAGAACCTTCAGCTAATGTGGAAGACTAAAACTGAAGATTAGAGACTGGTGAGTACGTGATCTGAAGGGGTACTCAGTGATTACAAGCCTGTCTACATAAGTGTGAAGACTGTTCAAGCCTCAGCGAATGCTGAAGAGACCTTCAGGTTATTCCATCATTCAGCGATCAAAGGAAGCTTGCTTAGCACGATTGTTGTTGTCTTGTCCTTATGCACACAAAGGACAAAACCATACCCTTTCTAATAGTTAGTACGGTACGGAGCCGACTAGTCGACTCTATTGCCCACCAATTTTAGGTAAGGACGTTTGCTCATGAATAGTGCTTTTTGTACTATTCACTGTAGCAAAGGACAAGCCTTTCTCTTAATGCTTGACACACACTCTAACCCTACCATATTGCATTAAATGAACATTTAATGCATTGGGTATAAATAGGAGTGCTTCTTCTCCTTACAAAGTGTGCGCAACTCACTCTCTAAACCTAATTCTTACTTTGAGCATCTCCTAGCTTAAGTTAAAGAACTTTTCTTTACATCATTTCTTTCTCATTTTGCTAAGAATCTGTGTGTAATCAAAGATTGTTTAGATAGGTTTTCTTACCTTATCTTTTCGCAAACTCTCTTGTAAAATTTGTATTGATCTTCTTTATCAATATACATTTTAAATTTGAAAATATTGTGTTTGTATTCATCCCCCCTTCTACAAACTGTTTTACTTATCTTGTAGACCCTCAAGGGACCAACAAGTGGTATCAGAGCAGTGTTCTCTCTTTTCTAATATGTTTGGCTATTTTCTGTATTAGTTTATCTCTTTCCTTAGATAAATTTACTACTTTCAAATGGCTTTACAAATTACAAACACACACACAAAAGACAATGGCTCTCTTGCCAAACCTCTCCGGTTCGTCCGTGGTAACTTTAGTCTCTGGAAGAACCAGATGTCCCTCTTTCTTGAAGGTGTGGATCCTGAAATTTCACATTACATAGAAAATTGACCATATATTCCATTTGTTATTGCTCTGGCTGTTCCAGCAACAGCTACGACTGCCGCGATTCCTAAACGGCATATTCAAAGCTCCCTCATTAGTGGAGCGATGAAGACAAGAAGAAGATAGCTATAGACACGCGTGCTCGGTCTATAATAGCTATGTCTCTTTCTGATGAGATTTATCACTCTATGATGAAGCTCAAAACTTTTAAATCCATGTGGGACACACTTTGTGTTCAATATGAAGGAACCACTTAGGTTCAAGAAACCAGAAAGATCAATTTAGTACGTCAGTACGAAAGCTTTCTCTGTGGAAAGTCTGAGACGCTGTCTGAAGTACATCAAAGATTTAATTGCCTTATTATTGATCTAAGGGATGTCGGCAGGGAATATTCCAATTCTAAAACTTTAACTAAGTTTCTGGAATGTTATCCTGAGTCTTGGGACACCTTTTCCATGTGTCTCAAGATGTCCAATGACATGTCCACTCTTTCTCTCTCTACTTTATACGGGATTCTGCTTAACCATGAGCAATCTCGTCAACTGAAGAGGAATCTTGTAAAAGATTCTAGGGAAATGAAAAGCTCTCCTTTAGCTTTGATCTCTAAATCTTCTTCAGTTGAAACTTCTTCTACCCCTTTTGTTTCTTCTCTTCCTCCTGTTGTTATTACAGAGATAGACTCTTCTATCTCCGAGGATATTTCAGAATCTGATCTAGCAGATTTTGATGAATCCCTGGCTCTCTTGACTAAGTCTTTCAGGAGGTTCGCCATCAAAAGCAACTACTACAGATCTCCTCAGCTGTCCCTCAGGGAAAAGCCAAAGTCTGAAAGAATAGACAAGGCTTCAGCTGTCTG